CTTCTTGACAAAAAGAACGAAGACATACCGATAATTAAAGCGATGATGTAAATGCAGAACTAATCACTTAATAATTTCCTATTCCCGCTTAATTATTTAGCACTGGTGTAGGTAAAGATAACTGATATGTGCAATTAAAGGTACCATTTTTTTCAACGAAAAGGGTCCAGTAAGTATGTAAGTTTCAAGTCAATACGAATAACTTATATCATATGAGAAACATTATTTCATGTTTCAAGTTTTTCTTATATCATATTAAAACCATATTTGTAGTGCCTGTCTTAACATTTCAGGCAGTAAACATGTTCATTTTCAGTGATTATTTGTGTTAAGTTCATTAGTAATTAGCCACCTTTTCTTCGAGTCATGTTTTTAACATATGATTTAATCATTGTTACATTATCTCTGTTACTTTATATATACTTACACAAATATATATATAATCTGTTTAGGGTACATAAATATGTTTCATATCAAAAGGCTTTAAATGCATCTGTTCCTAGAAATATAACACAAACAGGTCACATCAAGTACTCTTTCTTTATTATAAATGTTGTATAATATCACAATTAAAAAATCATTAATTTATTATTTCTCTGAAAAGATACATCAACAGAAACAAGTACTGGATATGATGTCTGCGACATCATAAAGGTTCTGTTTTAATATTTTCGCATTTTGATATAAGCTCACAATACACCATATTTTCAAAATCGTGATCATGACGGAATTGATGTTCCTTACACGAATGCACATTACGCGGAAGTAATTTGTCACATATTATACAAGCATCCATTTATATCAAATTCAAATATGCTATCGACACGCACACATTATAACAATAACAATGTTAGATTAGCTACAGTATAGCAACAGTTGAAAAAGAAATACACAAATGCTTCTTCGTTTTTATTTTCAGATGTTTTAGTTCTATTCTACACAATCACGCTCACGTTTGCTCCCTGCACCCCTGGCATATGTCATAGTAAAAATGAAGGCAGTCTGCTGGCTATTTGATTGGTGTCAGATAAAAACCCAATTACTAGGCTGACGCATGTCTCTGAAGATTACAGAAGAGCGACAACCGACGTTAAAGCCAGAAAATTTAATGTTACGCGACCGACAAGTTCGTTTGATATACATCAAAGGATCAAACTAATCGTCTTGTCTAATACACAAGGTGTTGCACAATGAACGTTCGATTTTGCTATGACATATTCCAGGGGTGTAGAAATGAAAAGAGTGCAAGTGAGTGTAGCCCCTGGATATCGCGGATGATACAGGGATTTCGTTCATTGACACTGCTACAACCGGTTAAAAAATAATTTAAATGGTCATGACTGTTTCAGTTAATAAAGTACTCGCTAATATGCAATATTTGAACTAATACAGTAGAAATGTATTAATCCCAATTATGTCCTCTATTAAATCAAAAATCCGTTAATGTGATCTATAACAATTAGTACAGAATCATTTTTTTTATCAGAATTATTGAAAGGTATACACAAAATGTATTATTTGAACTGTTACAACTTACGCAGAATATTTTTTTTTATCAGAAAATTAAAAACCTGCCAGAGTATTTTTTTTAACTGAAACTGTTACAATTATACAGAGGAATATTTTTAATCGACAGAGTAATACTTTAATCAGTACTGTTAACATTTACAACTTCCACTGTGGTATTGTTTGATCTTAACTGCTGGAACTTATACATAATACTATTTGAATCTGAACTGTTACAATTTATAAAGAATAATATATATATATATCTCAACTGTTGAAACTTATAAGGAATAATAGATGTATCTAAACTGTTACAACTTAAACAGAATAATATATAAATCTTAACTGTTAAAACTTATAAAGAATAATACATTATCTGAACTGCTGAAACTTAAAAGGAATAATATATCTATCTGAACTGTAACAACTTATACATAATAATATATTAATCTAAATTGTTACAACTTAAACATAGTAGTATATTAATCTGAAATGTTACAACTTATAAAGAATAATTTATTAATTTGAACTGTTAAAACTTATAAGGAACAATTTGTTTATCTGAACTGTTAAAATTTGTCCATAATAAGATATTGATCTGAACTGTTAAAACTTATACATGATAATATATTTATCTGAACTGTCATATCTTAAACATATTAATATATTAACCTAAACTGTTACAATTTGTACAGAGTGATATATTAATCTGAATTGTTACAATTTATACATAATGAAATATTAATCTGAACTGTTAAAACTTATATATGATAATATATATATATCTGAACTGTTACAATTTATACAGAATAATATATTGATCTGAACTATTACAACTTATACAGAATGATATACTAATCTAAACGATTACAATTGATAGAAAAATAATATATTAGTCTGATCTGTTACAACTTATACAGAATACAATATTAATCTGAAAAGGTTATTACTTATACAGAAAAGTATATTTATCCTAACTTATACAACTCATACAGTATAATTAAATTAAAGTTTAGTTAGTACACTTCAATATAACGTAGGTATACGATGGACTATATTTAAGCCATTACAATTGGTTATCTTGGTATACAAAGGACATTTTTTATCAAAAAGTTGTGATATCAGATCAAAATAAAAAAAATTAGTTTTGTCAAAAAACATAAGTTAGTTTTTCATGAGTGTTTTGAATTAGTCTAGTTACTATTCATATAGAATTACCATTTATATAGAATTTTCAAATAATTTTATCAGAGGAAACAAAAAGGGTCTTTGGATGAATAGAGGATATTACATGAATTTCTTTTAGTTGTAATAGTGCAAAATAAATTTTAAAAAATGACAAAAAAAATATTTGTCAGAAACACATGCAGTTAATGGCGTTATCAATGTTTGTAGTAGCGTGGGAATGTGATCCCACGGATTTGATCAATCGCAGCACCTTTATGTCTTATTAAATATATAACATACATATAGCGTATTACCATATTCATGACATAGCCTTATGACGGAGCAAAACGGGTCAGTAATGTGACAAATAACCTTATTCTCAACAGGCAGCATATCCAAACATAAGAGAACATTCCACCACTCCCACCTAACGATGTAGTCTGTATCTACGGCCATGTAGTAATACATCCTAGTTGTGCATCTCCACTATAACATAATAAGAATCCTAGTTATGTAGCCTGTATTTACATATCTGTTATAGCACATTAAACGTCCTAGTTATGTAGCCTGTATTTACAGCTCTGTTATAACACAGTAAACGTCCCAGTTATGTACCCTGCATTAACATATCTGTTATAACACAGTTAGAATCCTAGTTATGTAGCCTGTATATACATCTCTGCTATAACACAGTAAACGTCCTAGTTATGGAGCCTGCATTTACTCCTCTGTTATAACACCATAATAAGCCTAGTTATGTAGCCTGTATTTACATCTCTGTTATAACACAGTTAATATCCGAGTTATGTAGTCTGTTGCTACATCTCGGTTATAACACCGTAAGAACCCTAGTTATGAAACCTGAATTTGTCACAAATCTGTTATAACACAGTAAAAGTCCTTGTTGTGCAGCCTGTATTTCCATCTCTGTTCTAACACAGTAGGAATCCTAGTTATGTAGCCTGTATTTACATCTCTGTTATAATACAGTTAACGTCCTAGTTATGAAGCCTGTATTTACATCTCTGTTTTATAACGGTCATAATCCTAGTTATGTAGCCTGTATTTACATCTCTGTTATAACACAGTAAACATCCTAATTACGTAGCCTGTACTTACATCTCTGTTATAACACAGTAAACGTCCTAGGTATGTTGCCTGTATTACATGTCTGTTTTAACATAGACAGAATGATAGTTGTGTAGCATGTGTTTACATCTCTGCTATAATACAGTCAATATCCTCGTTATGAAGCGTACATTTCCATCTCTGTTATATCACAGTAAGAATCCTATTGACGAGCCTGTACATACATCTCTGTTATATCACAGTAAAAAAATATGTAGCCTGTATTTACATCCCTGTTATGAAACATTTAACGTACCAGTTTATTAGCCTGTATTTACATCTAGGTTATAACACAGTAAACGTCATAGTTATGTAGTTTGCAAATATCCAAGTTATGTAGTCTGAAGCTAAATCTCGGTTATATCACAGTAAGAATCATATTGATATAGGCTGTATTTAAATCTCTGTTATAACACAGTTAATATCCTAGCTATATAGCCTGTTATTACATCTCTGTCATAACACAGTAATAATCCTATCTATATAGCCTGTATTAATATCCCTGTTATTTAACATTTAACGTAACAGTTTCATAGCCTGTATGTATATCTAGATTATAACACAGTAAACGTCCTAGTTATGTAGCCGGTATTTACATGTCTGTTATAACCGAGTAAGAATACTATCTGTATAGCTTTATTTACAACTCTGTTATAACACAGTAGACATCCTAGCCTGTATTAACATCTAGGTTATAACACAGTAAACGTCCTAGTTATGTAGCTTGTATTTACATCTCTGCTATAAAACAGTCAATATCCTAGTTGTGAAGCGTACAATTACCTCTCTGTTATATCACAGTAAGAATTTGTGTAGCCTGTATTTACATCCCTGTTATGAAACATTTAACGTAACAGTTTCATAGTCTTATTTACATCTCTGTTATAACACAGTAGGAATCCTTATTGTGTAGCCCGTATTTACATCTCTGTTATAACACAGTAAACGTCCTAGTTATTTGCCTGTATTAACATCTCGGTTATAACACAGTAAACGTCCTAGTTATTTGTCTGTATTTATATATCTGTTATACCACAGTAAGAATCCTAGTTATGTAGCATATATTTACATATCTGTTATAAAACAATAAACATCCTAGTTATGTAGCATGTATTTACATATCTGTAATAACACAGTAACAGCTAAGGTAATTTAAGGACGTGGTTTTGGTGTTGGAGAAAAGCCGGAGTTCCCGGAGAAAAAAACACCGACCTACGGGCGGTACCTGGTGACTGCCCCACGTAGGTCTCGAACCCGTGACCAATTGGTAGAGGGTTAGCGGTAGCAGAATGTCAGACGCTTCACCACTTGGCCACGGCGGCCCCTACACACAATCAACGTCTAACAATATTACAGTTAGTGTATATGTATACATCATTATATTTTAAATAAGTAACAATTTATTAGAATAGGCATATCAGGTCGTTTCTATACAACCTTTGTGTCTTTGGTATTAAGAGTTCAATTCACGTAATTAATTGCCAATTGTCATTTAGTTAAAAATAATGTCTTCACTAAGACGTAATGATTGAGTAATTTTGAAATGACCTGGTATCCGTCCGTTGGTAACTGTATTTGATGCACAGTTTGCCAACAACTTCCGTGGAGAAAGATAACCTCATTGTATGACCAGTCTGTGGCAATGAAAGCAGATTAACGTCTCTGCGATAACACACGCCAGTCCACTGGCATAATAAACCATTGCAGAGTCCTCAACCTACAGTGTAAATACAATTGTAAGATACAACGAGTGTATTTGAAGGACGAGTAGTGGCTAACACCAACGTGGTTGGAGTATCTTGATGGTATATCGTGATGATACTGTCGGCATTTTTAAGTTTAACTGTCGACTCGGATCGAAGCCAGTAAAACAGGCATTTGTAACAGTTTAATCACGACATACCGACACAAAACTCAAAATACAGTACGATTATCCATTCTCGTATTCCTATCGGTTTAAACCATTGAGGGAAACGAAGATATATTTTTATTTGTTAAAATTGTAGACACTTTGCCTTTGATTGTTATCGTCAGTAACATTAAAAGTCCGGATGAATTACATTTACCTTTAGCAGTCGTGACGTCATTAAATAATAGATTCCATGAAGTGATATGGTCGTCTTCATACGCAAATGATAACTTTGCTGACTGTGTATCGTGGTTATAACGTCACAAGCTATTTCGATCGACTAATCAAATACCGTGTTAATCTCAACTAAATTATGTTGATCCTCCCCCTTAAATACGGTACTGAGTTGTTATCAGTACATAAAGTACCATGCGAACAAATGCACTATTGTTATAATGCACATTGGGAAATAAACAGCCTTAAGACTGTTCTTGTAAATATTTCATAGCATTCTTTTGTTTTGAATACTCACCAATGATAGCAATGCAATGAAGCAACCAGTTATCATAGCCCGTTGGGTGACGTCTGTTGGTGATTTGATAAGGCATGCTTTCCTCCAAAGAAATGTAGAGAATCTGAGCTGCAGGAAAACGTTCATGTAGTTATCGCTGTACACATGTTCGGTAAATATTCATCAATCTTTCCCAGGTAGGTAGGCGTTTACATTAAGTCCTAGGATAATCTTGAAGCATCGTATCTGGAAAAAAATCCGTACTGTTTAGATGACACGAATATATCTATGTTTGAGTTAAAAGGTCAAATAATAGTTTGCACATACAGTTTCACGTTCGAAAGGTTAAAAGAAAAACAGTACCTAGGAGGATATTGCTTTAGCATCTCATCTGATAAAATAAATGCGTATTGTTAACAATGATTCAATAAAACAACGTGTAAAATTAAAAGGTAACATAAAACATACATTACAAGATAATGTATCACCTTCAGGAGTAACAGGACCTATGAGGGTTTTAGTGCCCTGATGAGTGATTCCGTGTCCATGTCGCATTCCTGCATCGCCAGGAGAATTTCATTCACAGTTGGGCGTGGCCTGGTCTCTTTAATGAATTCTTTTAGTAAAGCAGTGATCTTCTCTCGACTGCTCTTGTTTCTGTAGTGGTCGTCAAACTCATCCAGTTTTGTAGGCGTGAATCCCAGCTCCAGGAAGAGATTGAAGTATGATTTGACGTCTACACGATCAGCAATGATGCGGACATCACTGACAGACAATTGCTTCCCTAACAAAGTGTCGTCTGAAATGAACAAATTCGAGAAGAAGAATTATAAGAAATCCAGAAACAATCTATTGATCACAGGACATAAGAATTACTATGGGCAAGATGAACCTCTAACAAAAGTATATATGACGAATACCACTCCATCGCTCCGACAAATGCACCAGCTACCATGGCGTTTCACTCTAAAAGTAAACAACCATTGTAAGTTGTACAGAGAGACAGACAAACAGACAGCGATAGAGCAATACTGATAAGAAATAATTAACAGATAATAAGTGCAAAATTAGAAATAAAATCGAAGTACAAATATATTATAAATGACTCGCTCCTTACCATTTAACACAGTTTTCTTGTCGATGTCAAGAACATTTTGAAGTTTTGAAGGATCCATCCCGTGTCGCGACATTGCGTTAGCTATAGCAAGGAATCCAGTACACGGCTGCGTTTTTAGAAAGTGGATTAAGATCTTTGTCATACGGGATCTAAAGGCCAGATGGCGATGCTCTTCCATCTCCTGCTCCACAAGGACGACCGGACAGTTGAGCTCGGTGAAGAACGTCAGGTATGCTTTACCGATGTATCTCGAGACTCTACCAATCTCTTTGAGCGACAGCTGTCTATCCGGTAACTCCTTTGCCATGCCTGCAACATCACAGAAAAGGTATGAATTGATAAATTAAGCATACAGCTAGAGTAATAACAGTCACCTCTGACAGAGGATCAAAAACATTCTACATATTATTTCTATGCATATTTTTTTTTTTACTTTGTATGAATTAACTGTTCTTCAAACGACTAACAAAGGTGTTTATTGATTTTAATTGTCACTTTATCGGCCAAAGAAGCAATATCAGCGGTACATCCAATAGTATACTGGATCCCTACAATATGAATAAAATAAAATTGGTTTGTGGGACAAATAAGTAATTCAGACAGAACTCTTACATAACAAACAAACAAAATATAAATATAAGAGGATATATCGTATATCAAATAACTATAAACCCGTTTACTAGCGTATGCCGACGATGAAATGCAGCACGGTGCTTAATTAACAATAAGAATTCGAAAGTCGCAAAATAGCATATATCACGACTGTTTGCTCTGTTTGTGAAATCTCCAAAGGTTTGGTGTACAATTGTACCTGGTATTGTCATCGATAATTATATATTGGAACCAAATGTTGTTAATTTGTAAGATTTAACGGGTTTTGTATGCCTTTTTGTATTGCGTTGTATTGGATCACACTCAAACCCCTTTTGTAGCACTGATCACCATTGATTGAAAGAATATACATATGATGAAGTAAAATAGTGTTATCGTCTAGATTTCTGCTTAATCAGACTGGTGCTGCTATGCGATTAAAGCGACTTACCAACAAGACGATCATGAGTCTTTTTCGTCTGTAAACAAAAGAAACAGAACATTATATTAAAAATGGTTTCACAAAATAATCATATCAAATGAAATTCTTTACTTTCGAAAAAAAATCGTGAACAGTATGTATATCTGTTAAATTTGGAAATTGTAAATATACTGAATACCTTCGGGTAAGGTTCCCTGAACCAGATGAAGAGATCTTCTCTTTCCATCCATTTACATCCGTGTGAACTGTAGCATTGCAGACGTGGCGTCTCTCCAAGATCGTTCACGTTCACCATCTTCTCATCTGCTGTGAACCGATAATCGTTGTGAAGGTAGAAATGATACCTGAGATGACTTTGGTGATTCAACTTAAGAATCCTTTCCAGAAGAAGTTCAAGGATTATACGAAGGTTGATTCCTGCTCCTGCTGGTACAGACTTATCTGTATCCTTTTTGAACATAGTAACTTTCATAACATTTTTGCAGCAGTTAATGATCATGTTCCACAGGCAATCCACAGCCAAACAGGCAAATCCGCGCTTAATGAACGTTGAACCATCCAGGCCAGGCTCTTCCAGTCGCTGAAACCTGTGGACACAAGCGGCAATCATCTTGTCCCACACTGCCTGTGGGATAAATGGATTGTCGAATTTAAGGCAAAGAGCGACAGTTATGACAGTGTCAGGATCATCAAGCACTGATTGAATAATCTCGGGATCTGCAGTTCGGAGAATGCTTGGTACTACGAAGTAATTCACCTCCGAATCTACAGATAGTGGTTTGGAAAGTAAACCAAGGGTTTCGAGTGCAATGTAGAGAGTTTCCTCCTCTTCTAGGAACCCAGAGTTCTTGTACCGTCCCCAAAGTTCCCTGATAAAGTCTACTGTTAAAATACCAGATTTCTCATAGTCTGACCATTGAAGTCTCTGCTTCGTCGTTAGTTTGGTAGTGAATTTGGGGTCAGTGATGATGGCTCTGAATGCATGCATCATCCATTGTGCTTGCAGAACGACGAACGGTCTCTTGCTATGAATAGCAAAGCACAGGAAAGATCCGGAGAACTTCAGTTTCCTAAAAAATATAATAACCAGTATAATTTTGAAGAGTGCATCACATTATAGTAGCTTATATGACAAAACGAGTGACGTTGAATTCTACTTACCACAGAAAGTTTACGATGTCATATTCTGGTAATGGCACTGTCGAATTGCTGTTGATTTCTAACAAATCGGCATATGTCAGGATAACCCTGCCTGTATGCTTCATTGTCACCAGCTCGTGCTCCAAGGCAACCCATCTTGCAGGTACTGGCTTCATCCACTGAGACTGGAGAGGAGCAATCTCTATAATCTTGTTCCACACCCGCTGGTACACATCTGCATTTTTAGTGGAATCATTCAGGTTGGCAATTGGGAACATATCCCGTACGTGGGTGTTCATAATTTCACGGAGTTCATGTTTCTCGTACAACTTTTCTAAAACTGAGGCAAACATCCTGTCCTGTTCTTCCTCCTGCGTAAAAAGAAAAAAAAATCAGTTGGAACACGAATACGATATACTTCCTTCTACATCAATATTATTTGAAGCAGGGACTTTACAAATACTTATTGATTTCAGTATAAGTCATACAACAACTGTTTCCTTACAAGTATCTTAGGCATATTTCATCTGGATTATTTAAAAATTTAAGACCGAATGCATTGTATGAGGTATCCGTCTACTCACCACTAGAGTAGCCTATATTATTATAAGTAATATTGCGAGTTGAATACGAGAAAAATAATCGTACGAGGGTCTGTTCCATAGACAGGGACATCTCAACCCTCGTGTAAGAGTTTGGCTGGCCAGTCAAACTCCTACACTCGGGTTGATATATCCCTGTCCACGGAACAGACCCATGTAAGATTATATTATTCTTCTACTCACCACCAGCAGCCTTTAGTATCATGAGTAATATTGCAGGTTTGTTTAGAATTATGCAAGACTGCTACAATAATTTTCAAATTTCAGAAAATATAAGAAAGTTTACTAGAGAACGAAGTCCGTGCTGTTAGCATGATACAGTTTCATGACTACGGACCCCGAACACTCCTGTGGTGTGTAAATAAAGTATCTTCTGAGAGCAAAAACAAAACGCCGTTAATACAGACACATTTTCCAAATCATCTTTTTTTCATTATCGTTGGACATATCCAGAGTAAATCCCTATATGACCGATGCTGTTTCGTGTTATATATAAAGTAACTGCTTTGGAAGATATTTATCACTTTGTCTTGACAGCAACATCGAATCTTGCAAAACTTTGTGCTTTTCTCCTGCTACCTGTAGCCTCAGTCATAATATATCGGAATAATTAACAGAACATGGAGATAGAATAGTAATTCACTCTTGGGAAAATGACCTTTTAAACTCGTTTAAAATATCTTGCATTGCTATTGATTACAGATGTCTAAAATATCTTTAAAAAAGCAGGACAGTCTATGTATCTGGAAAAGATAATCGAACATGATGATAGAAGGAAAAAAAGAGACAGTCCCATGAAATCTTCCATCAGCAATTACTCGTTACTAAGGATATATAATATCATCAAATGTATTTACTACATCAATATACATACTATTATTTGTGCTTTAATATTCTTACATTTTCAGAAACAAGGTCCATGTGAGATCCCACAAGGATGACAGGAGGAGTTCCTTTACCGTGTGCTGCTCTGTCGATAGCATAGGTAGCAATAGCCCTCAACCAGAACTCGATTCGCTCTATAAAAAAATATATGAACATTTACAGTGGCCGATAGGGCGTGCATCATACTCTTATCCCAATCAGACAAGATGTTAGCAAGTCAATTAACTTCAGAATATAAGGGTTATGTGGACCATTGACCCAAAAGAAATGAACATTTGACATACTTAAAATAATCATTAGTAGAACATGTCTGCACCAAACAAATAACTTGACTGATAGTCAGAAGAGGTTATTGGTATTTCACTCAGTATACGACAGGCGGCGATCTCATTTATAGTTAATAGTTTCTGATTTGATTCGTAGAATAGTTACATACGTTAATGCAATTTTGAAACATATATTTCACCTTGGTGCCATAGAAATCGCATAACGAAATCGTGCATTTGGTATAATTTCAAACAGTACCGTAACCATCCTTTTGTCTGCGCGGATCCAAACACATATCCACGTCAAATACCAGGACAAAGACCATGTTGCTTGACATAAAACAGTGATGTGTGTTATAGAACACCTTCTCCCCTCCAAAGTCATAGATTGTGACGTAGCCCTTCACCTCTTCAGCACCGTCAACGTCTATTTCGGTGCTCATTACCGCCTTTATAACGTCCCTTTGTTCACGGGGTATTTCCTTGTGTTTATCTTCTGATGAAGAATAATGTCTTCTACGTTGCGCTTGAAGTATCGCCTCTTCTTGAACTTCTGAAAAGGAAGGGGTTTTGCTACCTATTAGGTATTTCCTCTCGTTTTACTTTTTCTGAAAATATTGCTTGATGTGACCATGAACATGAAGTTCCGCAAAAGACATATAAAGTTAAAACCATTGTATACATTTTTTTTTGAAATTCCTCACCGTGCACTGACTAATTCTGAATAGAGATAGGTGACGTTTATTTTATCAAAATAGAAACACCATGTTTATACATACGGTAGACATTTTGTTTTTAAAGTATCTGATTTTTGATTAGCAGTTCTATATTACATGTACTATGATCCAGTTACTCATTGTTGTTTTTCCTGAAGTTGGGTTACTACTTTTACTTATATGAATGAACAAATAATCTTACCTCTTACTTGTCCACCATATGATAACTTCGAGAAGAATTGTTTCAGTGTCTCTTTGATACCTGTAGATTAAGTACAGTAATTATCACACAGCACAAAGGTTATTCACTTCATTCCCAACATACAAAGTTTGATTATCAATATGCCTACTAAGTATTCCATTTTGACATATTAATTGCTATTGTTTTAAAATAGATACAGGCTTTAAAGCGATATATATTTGATACTTTGTTGAACATCTCCCTTGAAAAGTCTGATATTTACATAATCTAATTTTTCAATTTGGTTTTACTGTTACCAGTCTTTTTCCTAGCTGACAACACCGGCGCTCCCACCGTTGGTGCATTTAGTGTTGCCGTGAGTTGATCTGGTAAACTTGTGGACCCTTCTTCTCTGTCATGGTGTGGAGCTGGCTTATCTTCAGACGGTTGTCCAGCGTCTTTACGGTATCGATCAATGATCCGTTTGAGTCGCTGACGACCCGTCTCAATCTCTCCATCTCCATACATTGTCTGTCTATACCCGGTGTTTGGGTTGTAACCCAAATAGTTGACATATAGATCAGCGGTATCCGTCGAGCCTGGTCCATATTCGGGAATATTTTCCTGTTTGAGTTGTCGGACGAAACACGACTTGCCGACTCCTTGGTGACCAACGACAGTGATGGTTATGTTACAAGGGTTTTCCACATTGTCAGCTATTCCTGAGGTATATTGCTCCTGCTGCTGCTGCTGCTGTTGCTGTCTCTGTTGCTGCTGTCTCTGCTGCTCCTGTATCTGCTGATGTGTCTGCTGGTGTCTCTGCTCCATAAGTTCTAAACACAGACACCATGTTTGACATTTATAGAGTGTGTAACGTATTCCTTAGTTGATAGTACAATCTAACCCGGACACAACTAGGGCAATGGTATTTTCAATTCGTAGATTTTTAGAAAGCCTCCTAAATAATCATTTCTGAATATCAGGAAATCTAGGAGACATATTTTGTTTCATTTCTACAAAGTATTTGTACTAATGTTAATCAATCAACGGTCCTGCAATCATTTAATGATATAACTTGCAGTACTAAAAAGAAAAAGATCATATTCCTAAGATAAAAAGCAATTATCATTTCAGTCATCATCACTTAATGTCGAGGAAATGTCAAGGTCATCCTCAGATGTGATGTTCTTAGGTGTCCAAGCAAAAAAACATACAAATTGTTCAGTGTTGATTTTCAACATTAAGCAATCTCACTTATCTAGTTTATTAGATGCTATGTAAGACATATAACTCATGAATGAATACAGTTTTACTAAATGTTATGATGGAGGACAACATCGTCAATCAAATGAAAATATAGAAAGACGCAATCATATCCGAGACATGAAAATCGACAAAGACAGTCAGATTGAATAAGAATATATGCCTAAGGTGTTGCCCAAACAAGGAGTCCACTATTTATACTCCTCTTAACAATAGGGGATTAATCTTCTATTGTCTATATATTAGTAGGGTCTCCAGTCAGGTCAGTGGTCAATGCTCACCAGACTGACTCTACCTAATCTTACTGCTCTAATGGCACGGTGTGATGATCATCCCGTCAGTTGGGAGAGGGTTATATCATCTGTTGGACTTAGCATCACTTTGTCAGGTGAATAATAACCAATGGTAGCTTAAAAACATGGCACATCCTTTTCATTAGGTGTGCCCTTGTACATATGTATGTATACACAATAAAAGACAAACAGTTACTTAAATCATAATTCATATTTATGACATAATAAATTAACATTTATTTACCAACACCCCCCCCCTAATTATATGTACATGTACTTGTAGATTCGCGTGCATAATCAGCTGATTCTACAGACATCCCTCCCTCCCTCCAACAAAAAAACAACAACAAAACCTTTGACAAGTGACCATTGAAGGGCCTGAAACAAACATCAACTTTTTAATTAAAAATCTATATTTTTACCATTTAAAAAAAAAACAAAAAAAACACTCGCTCCGCTCGGCCAAAATAAAATATGAATAATTTACGTTGTATAATATAACACGGACTTATACTGCAAACTCAAAAAGCTATTCTACGCCTCACTCGATCTGTTTGTTAGTGGTTTTACTTGGATAAATTTAGCATTATCTAGGATTATTTGACTCGGGAGAGCTTGCATTTATAACCATACTATGATAAATTGTCTCTTTGGTACATATCTAGTATGTGTTGATTACAGCAGTTAATCGTATGTACATTTGCTAAGATGAAGGAATAGGTGTGTAAAATTGATAAAACTATGAGGCAAGTAGTAGCTATGACACGCAAAGCAAATAACCTGAAAAACGTCTTACTTTGAACTACATACACTGTATACAGTAGAAAGTGTCAGGATTACGACAGGCAAAACAATTTATATTTATTTTCGTCATTTGACATTAACCTGTGTCCTGGCAGCCCCACTTTACTCGCTTAGCGTGGAAACGAGACAAGATGTTTGCTTGCGCTATGATCTAGACAGATTTCACTGAATGTGTTCGTTTGTTTGAATGGTTTTACATCCGCTTCACTGCCGAGTAGTTCAATTGTCCAAAGAACTCTGCAGTAACTTTTTCTTAAGACACCGATGGATCAGGACCAAATCTTTTCAGCGGACAGGTCGCGTTGTCTATCTTCCTAATTTCTGACGAAAAAAGAAAATCTCTAAGACTATTTGCCAAAAGATCTTGCGATATTTTTGGCCTCGTAAACAGTCAAAAATTCAACTTGAGTTTACTTACCTATTCATGTTATAAACATAATATTGGTTCATTGGGTTTTTTTTCTTGGTGCAGATTTGTTTTCAATGCGCATGCATATATTCCTTGCCATAGCAACAAATTTGGGTTGTTATATTATGCAGAAATGAAAACATCTGCATGTGACAAACAAAAATATCCTTTCTAAAAATGAACACTGGCATGACAATGTTTAACATGTCAAATATGTATTTGTTTGTTGCATGCAGAGACAACAGACGGCACCCATGCATTTTATCATGGAAATGCATGTTTATATATGTTATTGAAATGCCATAACTCCTAAATTAGTTGTCGAATGCATTTTAATTTTCATATTTGAGAATATCATTTATTCCAGATTACGAATCAAACAACTAGTTATAAATCCCAGAAATTGCCCTTAAAGCTCCTAGTCATTTGGTTAAACTCCTTCTATTTCTATCAAAGGAGGAACATGTTCCCCTATACATTTCCTCTATTGCACGAAAACAACTTATTTCTAACAGGTGATTTTTTTTTCACATTCCTGTATTACTGAAAATTGCATCAGAATTATGTGGAGCATATTGCATTTCCTTTAAGATCATAACTTTGATACACAGTCAAATTTTCACACCTGTTTTTTTAGGTTACATAACTCATCATGATCATTACTAAATGTATTTACCTATGCTTGAACTATCATACCAGCATGTATTTGAACATTTCGTTTACACGTTCAACTTTTCTGGCAGGTCTATAACAGAATAATGTAAATGATAAATATAGACCGGGTGTCCTCTGGCCCTGACACCTGACCTACACACGTAGATGTCAAGTAAGGAGCCCACTAATAGGCTGTTGGACCGGTTGGACCAGTTGGATCAAAGGGGTTCGTTACAAATTTTGTAACGAACTCCTTTGGTCCAACTGGTCCAACCAGTTAAATGACAAAATAAGGCAATTACACGGGAGTGAGTAGTCCACAAACCGTATTGATCCGGTCCTAAAATGATATTGATTATTCATATTTAGAAGATTTCCGGACCGTCTCTTTTTGTTGATTACATATAGTCACTTTAAAAAAGTTGGCAGCCCAGATATTTGATGAACAGACGTCAGATCCGTCGTAATTCATTACTAAATAAACATTTATAACTGTTCACCTTCGAAATCCAGAGACAGACACAATTTATATTCGACACATTCATAGCATGTTTGCTTGGCTACAAAACGTGTGCAAACCATTAAGTGGTCAAATGATAAAAAAAAATGAAATTTTCAAAATTATTTAAAAACAGTTCTTTTACACGACTTTTTAAACAATATATTCTTATTATAAAACGTTTAATTTATGTGATTGTCAAAACCATGTGAAAACTACAAAGTAACGCTCAAAATGACAGATAAATATTGAACGAGTGAACAATTATGTTCGAGTTATGCCCCTTTGGACAGTTTTTCCAAAGGGGGATAACTCGAACATATTACTCAAACTCTGTGACCAGTTTGTCCACAAGCTGGTGTCATGGGGTTTGGTGTTGCTTTGTTTAAATAACAGAGCTGTCAAATTACCAGTTCCTCAAAACAATCACCGTATGTACTGGGTTTTGGTGTCACTGGGTTCAAATAACAGAGCTGTCAATCACTACTAACTCAAGTACATAACATTACCAAAAGCACACACTGTTAACTAGTCAGAAAAAACTGGACCAAGCGGTATGGATTAGGTGCGAGGTTGGTCAAAGAAGGGAAGCGAAGGGAAATATAGCAAAGCGACCGTCATATCGAGAACATACACTTTCATTTTCTTGATGGACATCCCGTGTTTTGATCTTGATCAAATCTAGTTTTAATTGATTATTACTGTGTTTATTATAGTCTTAGTTTGTACGTAAGCATGTTTTTGTGTNACGTAACTCTCGACAGGACACCGGAAATAAACGCCACTGGTACGTACACACACTGACTAACTTTCATAACTGTCCATTACAGTGTGTCGGATCAGTAATGCAATAGTCCCGAGTTCGCCCCACACAGGGATTTGTTTTTTTCATTAATAAATAATAGTAAAAATATTAATTATAAATCCTAAATAATTAATAATCTTTACCTTAAGACCATCGTTATGTGTTGCTATTGCTGTGATATCGCTATGACGGGTACGGATATAGCGGACGTCGCTATAGCGAACTATTATGTGACGTCATAGTTTATGACGTCATAATATCTACTTAAAATAAACAGCCTGAAGAATCTTCTTGATGAGATGAAAGTACGAAAGACTCGTTGTTGATATTTTTTCTTTATATATATATATATATATATGGATAGGATAACAGTGACACATCAAGAGTTAACTTATCTGTATAATATCCAAGGCGAGATGAGCATCAGCACTAGAATAGGAAGGGATGCGACGTCGGTTTACAGAGTATTGATTCACTAGTGTATAAAAAGCATGGGACCGAAACACAAGGACGGTCTACAGAGTAGACAGAGTCCGGATTAGCCAGAGTTTTATTACTTTATAGCTAATTACACAGACACATTCCAGGGACCAACGAATATGCTGGTTCAGGCAATGTGCCGGTGTCTGGATAAGCCATAGTCCACTGTATTGTTTTAACAGAATACAAATATTTTGTGTCACTGCAATTCGCCTAGGTGTTTGAATATGTTTTTTTAAGAAATTTGTCATTTGATAGCGAAATTCCACAGGTATGCAAATCGGAAAATATATATAATGGATGAAAAGATACTTTTTATCTAAGGTCCAGGAACAAGTTGCAGGCGAAGGAATATAACTGCTGGATGTAGTCAAACCCGGCACTATTTGTAAACAATCAACGGTATTCTAAATTAGACTTAAACAATCGTATATGATGAATAGACGTTACTGTAGCGTAGGGTTGCTAAGGAAAGCCGCCATCTTGGATCTTGTTGCTAAGGCTAGCAACCATCTTGGATCCAAGATGGCGGCTTTTTATAGTAACCCCCCTGAACCTACGGGCCACATAAACGTCATTTCATCATGTGTGTTTTGATTGTGACGTCATCATTTTTGAGATACTCA